ATGAAAGGTTTTCCTGAAGCAGATGCAATGATATTCAGAGTTGGCCTTCTGGTCAGAGTCGGGTAACAAAACTTCCATTGGGAAACTGAAAACAGCCTCTCAAGTTCCTTGGGTTCCTAAACCTAGGGGGCCATTCCAAGTAGTCTAGGCTCTTGAATTCCCGGAGTACTTACATCTGTTCATACAAGGGCGGAAGCGACTGTAATACAGGGGTGAGCAAAAGTAGGTTTACAGTTGTTTGTGTGGAAAAAATATGTAATACAAGAATAAATAATAATACAAGAATAAACTCTAGGTTTTGTGTACTCACGACTGTAAACCTACTTTTACCCACCCCTGTAATTACTGCCCTTTCATACATCTTGACCACCACTGATTTTACTAATGAAAATTTTCTAATATTCATTATGCCAATTAACAAAGATAACTGAAGCCAATGTGCCTTTGGAGAGTGGGTTCCTGATTAGTCAGTCATTCAGATGTTAACTAACCACTTTGGGAGTGTGCATGCCCAAATGGGGACTTCAAAGATCAGCTAACCACTCATAGGTTAGTAGTTAGATTACAACTAATTAACATGCATATGTCGCCCTCTCTGTGGTAAAGTATATTAAGTTAAATTTAGATAATCAGACATCCTGGTTGACCTGAGGGAGTACTATTTAATACCTGCTGTGCAGAGATAATTATAGCATCCCCTTCACTCTCAAAAGTATACTAGTTTGGGCAAAAACTATGTAATCACCTATAATATAAGTGAAGTACGTTTCACAGTATGTTCTCTAAGAACACTCACTCCATACAACTCTCAAGACATTCAAGTTGGGCCTGCAGGTTCTTCAGCTCATTAAACATTCTGTGGATAATGAAATGCTTAAAGGCTATCCTCAATAGACATGAGGTACTCTCTTGGCTTTGTAAAGCAGAAATCATTGCCCCGTGGAAAGGAAGTGAAAGCAAACCTTTTTATTGGACTTCTTAAAAGGTCACACCCTCCACCTCCACTTCTTATGAGATGGGAACCTGGGCAGATGGTTGGTGGCACTGCTTGTTATACATTTTCTTCTGGTGGTGAGCCCAGCAGGCAGGACACTGACCCTAATTGTTGGCATTCTTTTGGGAATATGCAGTATTCCCCATCTTTGGTCATCAGCTTTGGACATCCTAATTTTTAGGGAGCAGGTCCTGCTTTTTCTCTAAATTCTGGGTTCTGTCACATCTTCTTTGGTACCCTCCATGAGTGGTGAAAAACAAAACTTGGATGCAGAAGAATCTGAGAAAAACTTACTCCACATCCGTTACACTTGCATAGATCCATGACCTCCAAAATTCAAGTGAAGACATTCCAACTTGGTACACTGCATGTTCATCTCATTCCCAGGTTCCTGATGACTGTACAGGGAGGGAGGTGCCCTGGAGCAACTGAGACATCATACCTCTCAAAAACACTGTTCAGAAAGCAGATTTGAATCCACTCTTGGTCTCACTAGTGGGTGGGAGCTTGGGCTTTTATCTCAGATTTGAAGATAACTGGGGACCTCATGGGTTTCGATTTTCCTCACACAGCCTACGGTTTTTGCACAGTTAGTCACCTTCAGTGTTGTACTTCAGCATTCGTTGTAGTTGTTGTTTTGACCATTTCAGACCTGGAGTTTCACTGTGGGCATCCAATTCCCTTAAAACTGTCCCTAAAGGTGAAACATCTGATGCAAATGTTTTAGTGACAAAGGGATCATACAGATCATGTGTTCAGTTGCTTCATTTGAGGACCACAGCGATATAGACAAAGAATGAGGATCTAGCATCAGAGAACATGTGATCAGATCCCTGTCCACCACTAATTAAATCTGTGGCCTTAGTACCAAGCTGCTTCTCTTCTTAACAAAGAACAATACCACACAAAGTGTTTAAAGATTGAGAAATGTAAAAAAAACACAAAATTGTTTTTTAAAGGTAAAACATGAATGTATTCCTCAGATGATTAAATATTGGCACAAAGAAGTTACATAAATTGTGCAAACAACACTACTTAAGGGAAAAAAATCCATGTCTTCTGACTTGAGTAATAATAACTGACACCGATTCCTGACAGTGTTTCAGGCATTGGGCTAAGCCCTCGATATGCCCATTTAACCTCATTTATTCTTAATATTATTCATATACTCATTTTCTGATTTAAAAAAAAAAAAAAAAACTAGTCTTAAAATGGCTAATACACTATCAGTGCCACACATAGTGAGTAGGAAAAACGTATTCATCAAAGTTTACCTAACTAGAGAAGCTGAGTTCTTGTAGCTAAATCAGCAAAACTCAGATTTCCATATCAAGAATCAAATTAAAAATACTAACCCACATGATTCATATTTAAAGTTGAGAACCATTGTTAGGCATAATTGTCTCATTTAATGTTTGCATACACCTAGCACAGTGCCTAGAACAAAATAGCTTTTTCTTACTTCTTTCCTTCTAATACCATTTTCCAAGGGAATTGTTCTTTTTTTGAAATTAATTTATTTATTTTTGTTACAGATGTTTCTCCCCTATCCCCCACTGATTCCCCCCTTCCCATCTCTCCCCTCCCTGTCCCCAGCCCTGTTCTCCACGTCCATTGTTCATGCATACATGCATATAAGTTCTGTGGTCCATCCCTCCCCCACCACCCCCTCCTCCAGGGACTGCCAGCCTGCACCCCACTTCCACGTCTCTGGGACTACCCCATTCCTCAGACTGTTATTTCATTATATTCCACAAGTAAGTGAGATCACATGATACTTGTCTTTCTCTGCTTGGCTTGTTTTGCTTAGGATAATACTTTCCAGGTCCCTCCATGTCATCTCAAAGGATAAGAGATCTTTCTTTATTACAGCTGCATAGTACTCCATTGTGTATATGTACCAAAGCTTTTTTATCCATTTGTCTAGTGATGGACCTTTGGGCTGTTTCCAGATCTTAGCTATTGTGAATAATCCTGCTAAGAACATGGGGGTACATAATTCTTTCTGATTGGTGTTTCAGACTTCTTAGGGTATATTCCTAGAAGTGGGATCACTGGGTCAAATGGCAGTTCAATTTTTAATTTTTTGAGGCAACACCCTATTGTTTCCATAGTGGCTGCACCAGTCTGCATTCCCACCAGCAGTGTACTAGAGTCTCCAAGGGAATTGTTCTGTGGTACCACTTGGAGAGAGGGACAGAATGAGGGACTGCAGATGGGGAGTGTCATGTGATGAATAGACAGTGAGGTAAAAGTGGTAGAAGCGCTGAGAGAACACAGTGGCTCTTCTGATGGTAGGAGTTGATAGTCACATATATACAACCAACCCAAACACTTCCCATGAGAACAAAGCGAACCTTCCCAATACCCATGCTCACATGAATATAACAACAGACTGACCTAGAAATTTACTTCTTTCTCCTCTTAAGGCTGCCCTGGATGTGAAGTTTAACCTAATTTCCCCTATATCAAAATAGGGTCAGGGGTTTGAAGAAAACTATCACTCTCCATATTCACTCATAATGTCCCATGTTGGCCTTGAATATGCCTTAGGTCATAGGTTTCATAATTTGAGGTCATCTTTAAAATAAAAACTTTTCAAGATTTCTGCTTTACAGTGAAGAATATGAGAAAACTAATAAATCCTTCCCCCGATATTGGTGAAGAATACAAGTAAAATGACCTCTGGTCTTCAGATTTAATTAGCTGAAGTAGCTCACCCTGGGAATGGCCTAATTTCTATACCAATGTGATAGCACTTTCTCACCTCATACATGCAAGGACTGCTGGGATACTATCCCTGAGACAGCACTTCTTTGGCTAAATTGGTACCACTGTTTTCTCCCCAGAGTGTTTCAATCAGATACCTGTGTCCCTGAAATAATGGAATAAGTGGCCTCTGGGGTGAAGAACCTTTCTTTATATCATTCTCCAAATTGACACCTAATGAGGTACATATTTCCCCTATAGAAATCATCAGTCTCAGGAAAAGCATCCTGGCTATGCAACCTCCCTCACATGAGCAAGGAACTATATATCTCCAAGGCATTTGGCTGCAAGACAAAGACCAAGATGTCTTCCTGACTAGATAAAATTTTGTTAAAGCAACTTTCAGCCGTTGACTCAAGAAGGAAAGAAAGCATGATCATAGAAGAACTTGAAAAGGTTTTAAATACTCTGCCCCTTAAAAAGGCATTAACACCAGGTTTTAAGTGGGATTTCTTCCAAATATTAAAGATTAGGAAAACTTTGTATTGTGTATACAGGGCATAGAAAGGATGGAATGAGTCTTAACCCATTCTGAGGGCTAGCATAATTCTCTAGGTTCATGATACCTATAAACCTAGATCCCAAAGTCCTAAATAAGATATAAACAATTATGGCACTTTATTAAAAAGAACAATACACTATAATAAAGTAAGTCTTTTCCCAGTAATGGAAGACTGATTCACCATTAGCAAATCTATTAGTGCAATTCACTAGGTTAATGAAATAAATAAATATGTACATACATATTTATATATATAATCATCTCAGTAAATGCTAAATAACTTTATTTTAAAATCTGATAAATGATAATTATACAGTTGCAGTTTATCCCGGGCCCCAGTTGGATTCCTGTGGGTGGCAACCAGCTGATGTGTCTCTCTCATATCAATATTTTTCTTTCTCTTCCTCCCTCTCTCCCTCCTGCTCTATCTGAAGATAAATGCAAAAATTTTCTCAGGTGAGGGAAAAAATAATAATAATAACTATAAACAATATTAAGCATCTAGTTTAAGATTGAAACATTAGAAATAATTCTATTAAAATCAAGAATAAGCGCAGAGACTTCCTGTTCCCAGCACTTTTCGATATTGTGCCACAGGTCCTCACCAAAGCAATAAAATGAGAAAAATAATTTAGAAGCATAAATCCTGGAAAGTGGGCCAATCTTAGGCTACCTGTGCTCAGACCCACTCCTGAAACACCTCATGGTTTGCTCTGTATCATAGATTGGGCCAACCTTTGCAAGCTGCGTTTCCCGCGCTTTCTCTTCAGCTGCTATCCAGCTAAATTCAACAGGTGGGAGGCGCTGGTGGGAGATTGGAGAGTGGGGGAATGGAGATGGTGAGGTATCTTTCTCATTTCCTTTCCATCTTCTACAGCTTCTCTGTCAGCATCTTCTACAGCTTCTCTGTCAGACAGGTCCACCATGCTTCTAGTCTCCTGAGAGTGAGCCTGGTTCTCAGCTCTAGTAACACTGCCTCCTCCCTTTATCTCTTCAGTCTTGTTGTTGTGGCTTCCTGCTACCATTAAGCTCTGGGTTATCTCCTTGTTACTGGTGTGGTTTTTCAGAGGCTCCCGTCACTTTGTAACCACTTTGCTCTTTTCAATACCCTTTGCAGTAAATACTTTAAGTCGTCTCTATGTTCCCAGTAAGACTGGCTATACAGAAAACAGTTGGTATTTGTAAATTCTATAATTTTCTCCCAGAATACCCAAATGATAAGCAGTTAAAATCAATGTGATCACTGAGTAAGCCAGTGATATAAGCTCAACAAAAACAAAAAAATTAAAATTTATATATCAGCAATGTTAAATCAGAAAATGTAATGGAAACATTTATTCCATTCGAAATGATAGTAATTAACTCAGACTATCTGGAAATAATACTGAAAAGGAATATGTAAGACCAACATAGAGCAAACTATAAAACTTTCATGCAAGACAGAAAAGTAGACCCAAATAAATAAAAGATATATCATGTTTCTGAGTGTAGAAATTCAATAGTATTAAGCTGTCAGTTCTTCCCTGATTAATATATTTGGGGTAATTCCAATAGAATAGTTAATGGGACTTATAAATCAGATTTCAAAATTCATAGTGAAAAAGTACAAGACAGCCAAAAATATTTTTAAAGAGAAGAACAAGGAGGTGGGATCGGTCCTAACTGCTATTAAGGCATACAATTAAGCTGTGGTTATTAAAATAGTGTAGAAATGCCAATGAAAAAATAGTCTAGAAAAGTGCGTGTATGCGTAAGTAAAGTGGAATTTCCAAATTAATAATTGGATTTGGAACAACTGACTTCTCCTATAGGAAAAGATAAAATTAGATGTCTAACTCAGGTCCTATGCAAAAATTAGTTCCACTTGGTCTAAAAAACAAACTGTAAAAACAAAACTTAAAAATTAATAGAACAAAATAATGTGGATTATTTTTATTTGGGTGGAAAAAATATTCTGAAATGACATATAAAATCCAGAGGCCATAAAAGAAAAGCTTACCGCCCTGGCCGGTTGCTCAATGGTTACAGCATCGGCCCGCGGACCAGAGAGTCCCAGGTTCAGTTCCTGAGGACATGTACCTCGGTTGCAGTTTGTCCCCGGCCCCTGTTGGGGTCGTGTGGCTGGCAGCCAGTCGATGTGTCTCTCTCACATCAATGTTTTTCTATCTCTTTTCCTCCCTCTCTGCCTCCTGCTCTATCTGAAGATGAATGCAAAAATGTTCTCGGGTGAGGATTAAAAAAAAAAGAAAAGCCTACCAATTTGAATACATACAATTTTAAATTATTTATTAGTAAAAGACATGTAATATCAAAGACAAGCAAGAAGCTTAGAGAAAATGATTAGAGAAAATACAACACATGATTGCTATTACATTTAAAGAGCTCCTAGAAGCCAGTAAGAAAAATATCAAGAATCCAACAGGAAAACAGGCAAAATATATGAACAATCAGTTCACAAAAATAATGTACAAATGGTCAAAAAACATAAGAAATCATTCTCTGCTTCATGAATAACCAGGGAAGAACATACTAAAGCACCCATAAAAATCTTATTTATTTCCCCTAGACTAACAAATAGTTAAGACTGATAACAGGAAGTTATGGAGAGGATACAAGGAAACATGCATTATTATACACTGTTCATGGGAGTAAAAATTGGTGAAGCCCTTTTAAAAGGCAAGTATTAGTTTCTATATAATTTCATAAGTGAATATACCCTTATACCCAGTGGTCCCACTGCCAAGATTCTAATCTAAATAAATATCCTAATATGTATTTAAAAATGTTCATTGAAGCACTATTTATAATAAAAAATGTTTAAAAATAAATTAAATGTTCATAGAGAACGGTGAAAATTTGTATTATATTCATAAAATGAACTATATCTACAAGTATCCACATGGGTAAATCTCTAATACATAAACTTAAGTGAAAATAAAGTAAAAACACAACATATTGTATGCAGAATGGTTTCTTTTCCTTAAGATATACATGTGTGTGTGTATATATGCATACATATATATGCATACAGATACATATACATGTTTGGAAATGTGGAGAAAAGAGGACAGGAAGTATAAACTATAAACTGTTAACAGTGAGCCCTCTGGAGTAGAATCTGGATAGCATTGAGAACAAAGGGAATAGAGAGGGGCTTTGATATTACATTCTAAATGCTTCTTTATTATTGATACTTGCACAATGAGGAAAATTGATAAAATGTAAAAATGCTAGCTAAAATCACACCTGTGACTTTGTTATCACATTCCTTTCTCCTGCTGCATACCACTGAGTTCTAGTGAATGACAGGACTTGGAATCAGTTCCTGGGGTGGGAGTTGGGAGCAAAGAGACAGTGCTGGCCTTGTTCACACCACAGATGCTCAGTAAATATCTGGCAGGCACATGGTAGACACTCAATAATAGCAATTATTATTATTCTAGTTACAATATAAATATATACCTCCCTTCCATGAAATCCTTCTTTATTCCCTGTTGAAGGCTATTTGTGATAGTCTTTGTGTTGTTCACCAGGTCTTTCCAGCTCTTCATGGTAGTATTGCTATTTCTGGCCCCTTGTGATTGGGTGGGGTCAGTGACTAGTTCTGGCTAATGAGATGTGAGCAGAAATGTTTCCATGCCTAGCATTGAATTGCTGAAAAATGCCGTCAAGAGCTCTTCCCCTCCACCCCTCCCATAACAACGGTAAATGTTCCAAATACTGGCTGCTCTGTCATCTGGAAGGCAACCCACCTGGTTTGGAGAACTCGGCCAACAAGAATAGTATGTAACATGAGCAGGAAACAAACTTCTGTTTTTCCAGGCTACTGAGATCTAGAGATTTTTATCCCCAATTGTAATCCTTCCTGACAATGTTATTATTTCAAATATACACAAATAAGGAAATTGAGGTTCAAAACATCAAACATAACTATAAGAGACTTTCTAAGGTCAATAATCAGTTAATAATAGAATCCAGGTTGGAACTCATATATATTTGAATCCGAAGTCCTTGGCGTTAATCCTTACTTTACAGCAGTTCTCAATGACTGCTGAATGGATAAACGAATTGATAAAAGTGGAGTTTGTTTCATGTACTTGACTATATATATTACTTTAGTATTACACTTCGGATATAGTTCTGCATGTATCATCACTGTCTCATTACAACTTGGAAAATTCAAATGGACTATTTGTGGCACGGGCAGAGTGCCTTCTCTACCGAGATCTGCTTCTAAACACAGCTACTATCAAGAAGGTAGACTATCGTTCTCTATTCCACTGACCTAGGGAAGGAGGAAGATGGAGGGAGAAAGGAGAAAACAAAGAAGCTCTACCTCAACCCTATGCACCTGACATAGGGTGGTTGGTGCTGGTCTGCTGATACTGACAGTGCTTTCCGTGGGCATATGCTACATGGCACAGTAAGTGCTGAGCTGTGGGACAATCCACTGCTCTCTGCAACTGTCACAAGTAGAAACTGGCTTTCATTTTAGTTGCCAAAGAAAAATGTTCTATGATTTCACTTGTATGTGGAATCTAAAGGTCAAAATTAACAAACAAACAGAAAGGAAACAGACTCATAGACACAGAGACCAGACTGGTGATTGCCGGAAGGGTCGGGGTTTTGGGGGACTGGGTGAAAGAGGTGAAGGGATTGAGAAGTACAGATTGGTAGTTACAAAAGGTCATGGGAATGTAAAGTACAGCATAGAGAATATAGTCAATAATATTGTAATAATTATGCACGGTGCCGGGTGGGACTGGGAACACCAGGGGGAACACTCTGTAAAGTATGTGATTGTCTAATCACTGTGCTATACACTTGAAACTAATACAAAATAATATTGAATGTAAATTGCCATTGAAAAATAAAATTTTAAAAAGATTTTAAAAAAAGAAAAATGCTGTTATATCAGGGTGTCTTAAAATATGTGCAGATAATTTGCAATACCAGTAATACACAGAAATCATCAGAACTCACTTGTATCTGATAAATAATCAGAAAATATGACACTTTCTGTCACTAAGTAATGATCTCAATAAATTGTCAAGTTTTATAATCATGCGACTAATTCAATACTGTAAAAAAAAATTTAAATCACCTCTAGTCATTATGGCTTATGCTTTGACCAATATCAAAAGTGTCTAATAAGCAATATTGTTATGGGCTGAATTATGTCTCCCTCAGAATTCATGGGTTGAAGTTCTAACCCCTACTACCTCAAAATGTGACCTTATTTGGAAATGAGGTCATCATAGATGGAGTTAATTTTGTTAAGGTGAGGTCATATTGCATTAGGGGAGGCCCATCCTTCAATAAGATGTCATCCTTCTACAAAGGGGAAATTTGGACAAAAGCATACATACAAAGAGAATGCCATGTGAAGATAAAGGCAGAGATTGGGGTGCTGAGTCCACAAGCTAAGTAATGCTGAAGATTGCCAGCAAAACCTTTGGCTGAGAGGTATGAAAAGGATTCGCCTTCATAGCCATCAGGAAGGACCAATTCTGCCAGCACCTTATCTCATACTTCTACCTCTAGAACTTGGGACAATAAATTTCTGCTATTTTAAGCCATCCAGGTTGTGGTACTTTGTAATGGCAGCCCTGGGAAACTAATGCAGATATTATTATATAGAATTTCATACCATTTTAGTTTTCTTATCATAAATGAGAAATAGGACAGCATGTTATCAGGTCTAACACTGAAAAGATAAAACATTCGTTACAGTCTATCATCTTGAAAATACTATGTACACTTCCAAGGACAGCTCTGTACACATCAGTTGCAAACATTCTTTAATTTACTCAAATTGCCTGCCTTTACCGCAAGGAAAACACAGCTGGCACCCACAGAAGCTCTGAGAGAGAGAGAGTAATTGGGTAAAGAGTTCTAAGTAATGGATTCTATTTTTTAACATCCTTTTTTAAATAGAAATTTTCATCTAAGTTAAGATTTCTATATTTATTGAGCATGTCTTTAGATTAGACACAAAATTCTAAGGAAAAAGGAAAAGAGATGTGGGAAATAAAGAAAAATAATATGTTATAGATTACCCAGGATTGCTTACCT